TAGCCTCTGCTTTGTGCTGGTGCTGTTGGCATTATTCAATGTGCAGGTTGTCCATCCCTCTTTCACGAGGAGTGTCTAGCCAGAAAACCTAATTGTGGCATACAGTTTTCATGCAATCGAGGAAGTATTGTCACTAGGATGCAGAAGAATAGGCAGAGGTTATCCTAAATGACTTTCAAGACCTTGAACGTTATTTACCATACCCGCCAAGTTCGGAAAAACCAAATCCGGGAGAATTTCTAAGCGGGGGGGGGGGGAAGGTTTTTTAAAAAGAGACATTGGCAACAAATGTAAATGAAGACAACTTCATTATATTTATATTGCACTGCTCATGCTAGCGAAGGACTGCTGCGCCTCGCTATCGTAGCAGCCGTTCGTTACGACGGCAAAAACTACTTTTTTAAGTGCGAGGAGGGAAGGGGGGGAATTTGAGTTTTTTGGGAGATTTTTCTGGCAATTGTACAAATTGGTCAAAATTCGTGAGTCTCCCGGGTAATATGGGTAACTTGGCAGGTATGATTTACCCTTGTTATGTTTATTGTTGTTATTCTTTACCTTTGTTATGTTTCCACCTGCATATTTCTTACTTTTCATTATTAGAGTTTGATATGAAAAAAACTGACTGATATATCTAAAAAGGCATGTGACCCTGTAATTAGTTGCAAATTATTATTACAATTCTGTTCAAACACTCATCGTGGCCAACAATTTCAATAACAATTGTTGTAAAAAAAAAAAACTTGCTCTCGAGACTAATAGGTGGATAATAACAGCTGTACCCTTTATAATGGGTGGCAGCTTCCACCACCTAGCCTAAAACATTAACAAAAACTAAAAGCATCATCCACTGCCTCCTCCCTCCGGCGAGGGAGTCACCAATTTTCCTCTGGTCAAACCTTGTCAGCGTCAGCTGATTCCTCGCAACACCGCGGTAAATGTTGGGACACAAGTTTAATGAAATAATTTGCAACTGGTTATCAGGTCACACCTTTTCATCTGCAACAGTGTGCCCTTTCCATTTCAAATACCCTCTTTTTTCACTTATATTTAGCATAAGAAAAGTACTATGTACAGCTGCTTATTCCTATGGAGGGCAAGACAAAAACAGCTTAGTAATTTTAATTTTTATGCTTTGGTGTATGCTGCTTTTAATGTCTTTCTTTTCTTTAATTTAGGTCTTTTGGAGCAGCCAGACTGCTAGAGAGTGCATGCTCTCAGGTGGTGGATAGAGAAATGTCTTCTGTTAGGAAGTTGTGAAAACAACTTCCTTCTACAAGATAGGCACTCATGCCCATGGATCAACAAGCTTCTTTTTTCTTTTTGTTAATGCTCCTTTTTCTTTTTAACTTGCATTTAGTTCATTTCTTATTTTGTGCTTGTGGTAGGTCTTGTTTTGTTGAAATAAACTTTTTGCATCCATTTCATTCATGCTATTCTTGTTGCAAAAACACCGGCGGCAACATTCGTTCAAGATAATGCTGCAGAACAGGTTACATTGAAGCAAAGCAGATGTGTCAAAGAGACTGATAATTGAAACAGTTAGCATATTAAACTTCACACTTCTTGGAAGGCTCACTGATGCGACTGCTGCGCCAAAGGCCTCAACCTGCTATATGCCGTTAAAATTAACCAAAATACTCTGATGAATTTGTGCCAACACTGCACGAAAAGCTCGACTTTTGCTCGCTATTTGAGAATTACTCGGAGCTTAGTACCTTGCTGGATCATTATGGTAGGATGATGCCTGTTCTCAAAAATACAGACTTGATTGGACTAACACACTATTTGATTTTACCTTCGTATCGAACAGGGACAGTACACTTAAGTTCCCTAATAGTCCTGATTACTTTAAGTTTGTTGAGGTGGCCACACTAGCTTTAGTGAGTGCACTTCTCGATAGGCTTTGGTGCACTCTGGAGAAGACACTCGTAGTGTAAACAGCAGTTTTGTCAGGTTTGCTTCCCTGCAACACACTTTCGTACTAGGAGAAGACTTACCTAATGAGCAGGGTATTAAGAAATTAAACATCTGGGATATGGTACATGTTGATCTGACAATAAAACCTTGCAGCAAAATTGCAAAAATTAACTGCAGCTATTATGTAGGTGTGCATGTGACAGGGCTGGGCAGAGGTACTACAAAAAGTATTTGGGAATACAAATACTGCGATACTTCCTTTTTGAGGCCCAAAATACAGGTACTGAGATAAATTTGCCTTTCATGTAACGGGATATCCCTGAGATACTTCTGCAAAACGGCAAAAAAAGTATTCCGGAATGCAGATACTTATAGAAATACATTTGTTCCCGAATGGTGCCACATGAGGAGGGTATAATTCGTGGTGAATATGAATGTTAATAATGCTTGTGCTCCTCTTTTTGTGCCATTTTAAGCACTACCCCTTTGCTCAAACTCTTTATTTATCATTATGCTGCTAGAAAAACATGTCACCCTCCTTGAACCACTTAGTTATAGAACGGTAAAGACTGCGTATCATGCCTGACAAAACGCGTCTGCCCAAAATGAACATTGTTTTGCCATGAGGGCGCAGAACCAGAGCAGCCGCCGCGTTAGGACTGGCGCTGTGATCGGTTTTCGGAGCGGAAGCACAGGGTGTCGTCTGCATCTGTTAGCTCTTGTTTCACCGCACCATGTTGTATGCTACATGTAATTATTCGCAGTTTGATGAGACCATTCGCATTTTCTTAGTTTTAATGTATAAAAACGAAGTTTTTTCTGTGGATGTTTCCTTACTATAGTCTGCTAAAAAGTATTATGTATGAAATGTGTTTGTCCAGATTCCTTCACATTTATTTAACAATAGTAAGTTCAGGCCAAGTCTCTAGAATTTGGCATTTAGATGATAGATGCGCAGCATCAGGATGATTTCACGTCTGGAGTTACTGGCGGCCGTGCGCAGTCAGGAGCGGTCACTTCGAAGACTAAGGCCTGACGAGAGCGTTTTGGCCAAAACAGTTATCAACCGTCACTTTGGTGTCAAGTTGAAGCATTTATTCTGATTCTCAAGAAAGATTGGCGTGGAACTAGCATGCCAATGCCGATTCTCTGCGTTTTTTCCCAGGCCCACTAGTGGGCGTCCACAAATACCAGCGGACAAATCATGCGGTATTATGCTCAGCTATGGGGCATGCAAGTGCCCTTGTATTAAATCCCAGACCTCTGCAATGTATCGGGATCGTCAGTCTGCATCCAAGAGCTACTCAAGGTGGGGGATATCAAGAGTGTGATACTTTTCCTGTGTCTTTTAAGAAGAATATGAACATAGCACCACATAGCATCAAAAAGAAACAATTTACACGAGTCAATGTTTCAACGCTTACCACAGGGAGCGAAACCTGTGCAAGCAGGTGCAGAAAACGCTTTCAGAATATCATAATTGAGCACATTCCTACCCTAGGTTAGGATCTTGATTCTGTGTCTACCATGGGTGCATTATTTTCATAAGTGAAAGGAAATGTAACCTCTCACTGGGCGTTATTGTTAAACATTGCAGACATTTGAGCAAGAGCTCCGAGAAATGGCACCACAAGCAGAGATGGGCGAGGAGTGTCATCTGCTCTTGTTGTCTGCTTCTGCAAAGACGCTGAACTGACTCTGGAGCTAATGCAAGCTTTTGAGGAACTGGGTCTGAACTCGTTTAGAACTGGGATGAATCGAATGTGCCAGTGTAGCGGCTGTGCAACTTCAGGGTGAATCGAATGCGCCAGTTCCTGCACTGCTGAACTAGTTCAGCCACTTCAGGCGAATCAAACAAACCTCTTACGATGTACACCCTCACTATAATAGTACCTTTAAATGTCAGTAGCAGACTTTCATTAGGCAACCACCGAAACGGCACCTCGTGTCAGATGCTGGGACGACCGGCATGACGCAGAAGAGCGCGAGAACACGCATGCCAGTGAGCACAACAAGAATGTCTAAACCACGCTCTGGAAACAAAAGGTAGCAACCTGTAATTACATGTACCACCCATCTCAATGCATGGCACGCCTGTCAAGAAAGCCGGTTTGGGCACGACGTCACATAGATAAGAAGTGCAAGACATCCTCTCATCGAGTTTTAAGCTAAGACACTGTGTGAAAAAATTGTCGAACTCTATGCATTTTTCATGAAAGGAATTTCTTGCTTTGAAACTCACAATGGCACATTTAAAATCTTATATTGTGACCTATACAAACGCATTTGATATTACTGGCGCGATACTTTTTCTAAGCATCAGAACTGTCTACTTAAGTAAAGGTGTCAAATGCTGTCCAGCTTCACCTCATTCATTCACGCAAGACAACTAAAGAGCTCGAACAAACATTCACTATATCAAAGCAGAAAAAATATGTAACTTCACATGTAAAAAAAAAAAACGTGTTTTCCTTGTGAATTGCAGTTTGATACTAATCAATGTTGCTGGCCTTGTCAGCAAAAAGCGGCTAAAGTGCTTAGCGAAGAAAAAGAAAAAAAAAACTGTGTTGGTATTTGCCCTTACAAGGTGCTTCATTTGCATTGCATGCCCTAGTTAAGTGTCTGAACATTACATGCCCCAGACACTGAAACGATAAATACCTCGTTGCCTGAAAAGCACGTTCTAGCTTCGTTCCGCAATTAGTTTCGCGAATTCGCCAAGCTTAGTAAATTCTAAATAGTTTTTTTCTGCACTTGAATGCTCTAGGGAAAAGGAGGGAATTAGAGTTCGATTTATACAGTTAAATTTTTGTAGGGATTGTTGACTTTGCCAAGTGTTAGCTACAAAATAATGCATTCGTCAAAAAAGCATAACACTTCAAATGAACTATTTCGCGAATTGAAAACAGCAGCCCAGATTCGACACATACGAGCGGTCAAAAATACACGGCATGAGAACGACGCAGCAACCGGCAACGTCACAGGAATTTCATAACAGCAGAGAAAAAAAATTAATTACACCCCTTCGCTCGGTACAACTATGATTTTATTATGTATAAAGCAACACAAGAGTTTCAACTCACCAACGCAGGTTCGATGTAACGTTCAGCCTGCATGGGCCGCTGGGTAAAAGCAAGGAACTTTCGTCTACTAGAGTATAGTTATGACATTTATTCCATTCCTGATGCGCTTATCGATCTTTCAACGAACCAATTCG